TATTTTATTACTGGTTATCATTTTTACCTTAATTTTGGTCTTGTATCTTCTTAAAATTATAAAAGATGTGTTTATTTTTTCCTGTGTTTCTTCTGTTGCTTCAAAGCTTGGCTTGTTCTTCTCTTTCTAGCATTTTGATGAGTGTTTAATTCTGCTTTCTTCCAGATGTGTCTGTGGGGTTTAAAGATATTCAGCTCTTCAATTTATTTGAAAATTGTTTTGTTAAATGGTATGACATGAGGGTCATCATGATTCTAATTCCACTTATTAATTAGTACCTTGCCCATTTACTGACAGTATTGCATATAATGAATTAAATTACATTGGGGGTAGATTGATTATAGTGATACTTTATTAAAGATTTGTGGTATGGTTGAATATCTGAAAAATATATTCTCCTACAGCTAACCCCCTTTTCTTTGGTATTTTTACCAGTTTATTTTTGCCCCCACACTACAAATCCATCTCCTCCTATATTCTAACACTCCTCTCCAAATTTAAAAAGAACTTTTTATTAAAATTACATGGAGGATAATTTGAAAAATATTGAATACATTTATATTTAATGTTCCCTTTTAAATACTTGGCTTTTTTATTGGCTTGTTGTTTCTTGTTTATAAATCAGAAAAATTTCTCAGTATTGTTATTCCTACTATCTGGGTGTGTATTAGTATGTGATGGTTTTGTTTGATTCTTTTTGCTATTAACAAAGAAAATTTTTATTATGTTTTCTTATTATTTTAATATCTAGAAGTATTATTGACTTGTTTTTATCTTATGTGCTCTCTTGTCTTACTGTCAGTTCTAACACTTTTTTGTAGATTTGTGTGTGTTTCCTGGGTGAAAATTAATTAGGAATGATAATTATTTTATCACTTTTTTTATACTATGAATTTCTTTTAACTCTTTCACATGTTGATCAGATAGAATATTTGTAATTAACATTACTTAAGAGTGATAATGGAAGGCATCCTTTTGTTGTTGTTGTCTCAGTTTACTGGGTGTATGTCTGATGTTTTCACCATTAAGTATTGTTTTGTTTGATAGCTTAAAATGAACACTTTTTAAATTAAAAGAATTAGTATAAACTTTTTGTGGTTTAATGGGGATTTGGAATAGTATTTGGAATTAACCTTAGATTTTATCAAATACTTTTGGACAAGGGTACCTACTGAAATTATCATTTAGACTTTAAAATTTAGTCTATTAAAATAATACATTTTATCACATATTAATAAGTTTGCTAATATTAAATTACCTTTAATGCCTGTAATAAAACCTATTGTTTTATTGTAGGTTGTTCTTTTTTACAAATGGTTTGTTTGTGTTTGTTTGGCTTCTTACATTGATTTTAATAAGTGATATCATCTATAACTTTGATTGGTAGTATATTTGTTAGGTTTTGATTTCAGAGAATTCTTCTTTGATACTTCTTGTTC